GTAAAATAATCATTTGTTTGAATAAATTAACTAACGGTGATATATGTCGTACTAATTTCCGAAGGTGTTTTGTTTTATTGTGTTAAATCGACCTTAAAATGATTCCCGTGAGCAAAAAATAAATTCAGACTAATATATTATAATTATACAATCACATTTATCCGGGGAAGGATGTAACTTGCTCGAATAATACATTCAATTAACGAGTTTTGAAAGTTTTAATTAAAATTTCATGATAAGACACGTCACCGCAACACCACATACTAGTACACTGTTTCATGCAACAATGAATATGCATAAAAATGAAATGAACATCGTCGTGCGATTTATGACCAACTTTCTCAAATTTAGGAGTAGATTCTACCATATAAACAGGTGTTTTATTCCTGCGCCCAGAATTTACGCATGCGTACAAATGTTTAAAATATTTTATATTATATTATATCATACTATAACCCAATTTGTTTATCAAACGAAATTATTTAATCACATTTATATTGTTATTCATATTGTTTCTTTAAAACATCGTGCGCCATAATTTTTTTGGTGGAACATTTTGCTTGTTTTTTTATAAAATGGTTTTGGTAATTTTGGATCAAATGGGCATAATTGTCTATTGGCTGCATTTCTTGATCAAAATTTTGAAAAAATTACGAAATTTATTATATCGATTCAGAATTTGTGAATGATGACGATAGTGGACTTTGGTGTTCAAAGTGTATACACTCCAGCTTGCTTTCCACATAAAGACGAAACATTTGTGCTTTGAAGTAAAACAGTGGTTATCCACTATTACGTGACATCATAAAAATGAAATATCAAATAATAAATCAATGTAGTGAATCCAACATATTGTTACCATGGTGACCCAGGGCAGGTCTAGTTTGACGGATGGGGAGGAGTTTTTCATTCAGTTTCAGTTTTGTGTATGTGAACACAATGGTGACATGGATATTATAAAGCTACCCCGACCTCAGCTGTGTAGGAGTCATGAACCATGTATACGTACTCTGTCGCAATGTACGCATTGTGCAGTGATATAATCAATAATACCATCGGGATATCGGTGGACGTAGAGTAGGTATCATGTACTTACAAATCGTTAAATACAGCTATTATAACCATCGCTTGACGAGGACAATGGGAGTATTTTGATCACCAATAAGTTTACAAATACACGTCATAAAGAATCAATATATTTTGTTACAAATCGACTATTCCGTATTTTTCATACGAGATAGTTTGAGTAGAGCCTACGATACACAGGTTGTAATTCGGTCACATGTATTGTTATCGTAGAAACTACGTATGTATGTGTTGTCATTGTAGTGACAAACTTTGGAATAGCACGCCTGGATCAATTTTGTAACGAGTTAGTTACGTAGACGCATTCCTGTCTGCACCAAAATGAAAATCAAGAAATATAGGCAGAATTTCATCCATCGTTCAAAAAAACTGAACGAAGATGACTATTTAGAGAGTGCAAAAGACCCTCTTCTCATTATTCGTTTTTCATAATATTTTAAAAATACTAGTAACTGATAGATTTTTTTCTATAGTGACGTAAGATTCAAACAGCTTGACTAAGTCATAATGTGTTTCTCTTCTTCTTCAAAGAACACCAGAGATTCACAAGCATACTTTTGTATGAGCTGGGATTTGTTTTAATCTCCATATCAATACAAATGTGGCGTTCGCAATCTCCACATGAATACAAGTGTGGCGATCACAATCTCCATATAAATACAAGTGTTGCGTTCGCAATCTCCATATATATACAAGTGTGGCGTTCGCAATCTTCATATGAATACAAATGTGGCGTTCGCAGTCTCCACATGCATACAAGCGTGGCGTTCGCAATCTCCATATGAATACAAGTGTGGCGTTCGCAATCTCCATATGAATACAAATGTTGCGTCCGCAATCTCCATACGAATACAAGTGTGGCGATCGCAATCTCCATATAAATACAAGTGTTGCGTTCGCAAACTCCATATGAATACAAGTGTGGCGTTCGCAATCTCCACATGAATGCAAATGTGGCGTTCACAGTCTACATATAAATACAAGTGTGGCGTTCGCAGTCTCCATATGAATACAAGTGTGGCGTTCGCAATCTCCATATTAATACAATTGTGGCGTTCACAACCCCCATACGAATGCAAGTGTGGCATTCGCAATCTCCATATGATTACAAATGTGGCGTTCGCAATATCCATACGAATACAAATGTGGTGTTCACAATCTCCATATGAATACAAGTGTGGCGTTCGCAATATCCATACGAATACAAGTGTGGCGTTCGCAATCTCCATATGAATACAAGTGTGGCGTTCGCAATCTCCATATAAATACAAGTGTGGCGTTCACAATCTCCATACGAATGCAAGTGTGGCATTCGCAATCTCCATATGAATACAAGTGTGGCGTTCGCAATCTCCATATGAATACAAGTGTTGCGTTCGCAATCTCCATATGAATACAAGTGTGGCGTTTGCAATCTCCATATGATTATAAGTGGGAAAATTTACAGTCACCATATGCTTGCCTCGATTATCAAAATAAGCCAACAAAACAACCGTATTTAGCAAGAGGATATTATTATTAGCATTAGTTTTGAGTTGATAAATACACGTAAACACAGACGTCTGTAGTCAAATAATAATACCCGTGATGCAATCTGGCAGCTATAGAGTAAGACGTCATTAGTTAACCACGCGATGTTTAAACGTAAAATTGTTTAGTAAGGCGTTCACATTCTCCATACGAATACAAGTGTGGCATTCGCAAACTCCATACGAATACAAGTGTGGCGTTTGCAATCTCCATATGAATACAAGTATGGTGTTCACAATCTCCATACGAATACAAGTGTGGCATTCGCAATCTTCATATGAATACAAGTGTGGCGTTCGCAAACTCCACATGAATACAAGTGTGGCATTTGCAAACTCCATACGAATACAAGTATGGCGTTCGCAATCTCCATATGAATACAAGTGTGGCGTTCGCAATCTCCATATGAATACAAGTGTGGCGTTCGCAATCTCCATATGATGATAAGTGGGAAAATTTACAGTCACCATATGCTTGCCTAGATTATCAAAATAAGCCAACAAAACAACCGTATTTAGCAAGAGGTTATTATTATTAGCATTAGTTTTGAGTTGATAAATACACGTAAACACAGACGTCTGTAGTCAAATAATAATACCCGTGATGCAATCTGGCAGCTATAGAGTAAGACGTCATTAGTTAACCACGCGATGTTTAAACGTAAAATTGTTTAGTAAGGCGTTCACATTCTCCATACGAATACAAGTGTGGCATTCGCAAACTCCATACGAATACAAGTGTGGCGTTTGAAATCTCCATATGAATACAAGTGTGGCGTTCACAATCTTCATACGAATACAAGTGTGACATTCGCAATCTCTATATGAATACAAGTGTGGCGTTCGCAATCTCCATATGAAAACAAGTGTGGCGTTCGCAAACTCCATACAAATACAAGTGTGGCGTTCACAATCTCCATATGAATACGAGTGTGGCGTTCGCAAACTCCATGTGAATACAAATGTGGCGTTGGCAATCTCCATATGAATACAAGTGTGGCATTCGCAAACTCCATACGAATACAAGTGTGGCGTTCACAATCTCCATATGAATACAAGTGTGGCGTTCGCGATCTCCATATGAATACAAATGTGGCGTTCGCAAACTCCATACGAATACAAGTGTGGCGTTCGCAATCTCCATATGAATACAAGTGTGGCATTCGCAATCTCCATACGAATACAAGTGTGACATTCGCAATCTCCACACGAATACAAGTGTGACATTCGCAATCTCCATATGAATACAAGTGTGGCGTTCGCAATCTTCATATAAATACAAGTGTGGCGTTCGCAAACTCCATACAAATACAAGTGTGGCGTTCACAATCTCCATACGAATACAAGTGTGGCATTTGCAATCTCCATATGAATACAATTGTGTCGTTCACAATCTCCATACGAATACAAGTGTGGCATTCGCAATTTTCATATGAATACAAGTGTGGCGTTCGCAAACTCCACATGAATACAAGTGTGGCATTCGCAAACTCCATACGAATACAAGTGTGGCGTTCAAAATCACCATACCATTTTTTGCGAAACATGTCTTGAGTCTAGCAAAGTTTGTTAATATTTTGTTTTATATAACTAAGGTGTAAATTTATTTTACAATCGAATAAATATAATACGTGTGTGTATATTCATTTCAAATTTAGGTATACATTTGTACTTTATAAGTGCAATTTATCTGTATTCAATTTAATGTAATACTCTACTATATCTATTTCTGTACTCAAATACTCCGTCAGGAATCGACGGCGTAGAGTGGAATTGTCGGAAACGGAAACCTCGGAATGTAGTCTTAGAAACCTCGGAAACACATAAAACTAACCCTAACCCGATTTTTCGACCCCCATTTATAGATCATGGATGGTTTTGACGTTTCCGAGGTTTTCCTGACCACTTTCAGTTTCTGGCAAATCCGCTCTTTCGTGAGACAATAGTTATTCGTTACACCGGCAGTAAAAAACTATATACGTCTGGGAATAACGGAACATCTTCAAGTTATACCAATAGTTCCGCTCATTACGCGTGATTTACATTGTATTGTAAGCAAATACATTTCCGCTTCACTGCACCCTTAAGTAACTTTTGTAACACAAGATCTTAGATCATATCGCCGACAGAATTTGTAATCTCACGTTTTTAATCATTTTTTCAGATACGCTGTACTCAGTGTTCTCACAAGAAGGTTGAGAGATTTACCGCTTTGCTCTGGATAAAACAAACGTATGTGCATCTCAACTTCAAGAGCAAAGGTTATAAAACTCACTTGATTATTCCAAGGAATATACATCCATAAGTAATATACGCGTAGTGAATATTTAATGCGTGTTGTCCTTTTAAATCAGACGTCTCCTCCGGCTTGACTGGCCATTAAGGATGGACGCGTTACGCGGCCTTGCGTCTTACAGTCGCGCGTACTGTAGCAAATTATGGACTCAGTTGACGAGGACAAAATTTCGCGACGAGGATCGGATACCGATACAAGACGAAGTCGCTGCTTCGCAACCACGGAAATCACGCTTTCAGCTGATCGTGCTGAGCGCCGCCGTATGTGGTATAGAATTCTGTTACGCGGCAGAGACGGCGTATGTGAGCCCGACATTGCTTAAAATCGGCGTACCAGAACAATACATGACGCTGATATGGTGCTTAAGTCCAATGTTAGGTATCTTTTTAATGCCGTTTATAGGTTCTGGGAGCGATAGGTGTAATTCAAAGCTAGGACGTAGAAGACCCTTCATTTTACTTCTTTCTGCCGGTATTGTCATTGGGTTGATATTTGTTCCAAATGGAAAAGACATAGGGTTGGCATTGGGGGACATCGGTGAAAAAGGACTTATATTTCCTCACGCTACTATAAATGGGACTATTAATAATTTGACAAACAGCAATACAACTATGCTTCCAGATTATAGCTATTGGGATTACATTGTATTACATCATCATCTCGGGCAGTATCACGTGATCGGGATTATAGTCACTGTCATCGGCGTTGTCATCTTAGATTTCAGCGCGGATGCCTGCCAGGCGCCATGCAGAGCGTATCTTTTAGACGTGTCTGTCGAGGAAGACCACGTCAAAGGTCTCGCTTCGTTCACAATGATGGCTGGCTTAGGTGGTTGTCTCGGATACACTATGGGGGGTATTGATTGGACCCAAACTGTTATAGGAGTTGCTTTAGGTTCCCAAGTCCGTGTCGTGTTTACCATTGTTTTGCTGATTTTTGTCGTTGCTGTGGCTTTAACGGTGACAGCAAGTAAAGAAACGCCACTTTATGAATTAGAGAAACAAAAACGTCGCATAAAAATAGGATATACCGAGATGAGTGAGGATAGCGAAGGTAGAGAGATCTACGAAATGAAACATTCCTACGGCACCGACAAAGAAAAAATCGCCGGTGGCATTGTATCTAAGACTGTTGAGCAATTGCAAACGGAAACTGGTTACCAAGTCATTGACGAACAAAACGAAACAAATGAGATGGAGACCAGGGAGTCGGAAACGAAAACTCCCGAAAACAAAGATATAGTGACGTCATATCAAGATGAAGATATTGAGGATGCTGCTCCAATTACCATGAAAACGTACCTACTATCTGTCATATACATGCCATACTCAGTGCGTATACTGTGTTTAACTAATCTGCTTTGTTGGATGTCCTTAGTTTGTTATTCTCTTTATTTCACCGATTTCGTTGGACAGGCGGTGTACGGTGGCAATCCCAAGGCTCCGTTGGGATCGCATGATCGCCTCAAGTACGAACGTGGCGTGCGAATGGGATGCTGGGGGATGGCCATTTACTCCCTCTCGTGTTGTTTCTACTGCGGATTTATTGACAAGTTAGTGTACCGAATTGGTGAGTATGCACCTGTATTATAAAGTGTCTATATAGCTATCATGGCGTCACGCCTTATATGCACATACTGAGCATGCGCACGCATGTACATTAAAGCGGGGGAGTCGTCACCCGCGCATGCGTCAGATGGCCTTTGCTTTTTTTAGCGTGTGTTGTTATCGTCGCTTGGGACTCAATTACCGCGCATGCGCAGGTGACGATCCTTCCGCTTTAAACATACTGTTGTTCAATTTTGCATCACATCGGTGTTGTTGCTCGTTTATCACACAAAATAACAGTAATGTTGGTTGAAAAATATACACACTAGTTTTACAATTATAATAATATAGTGGCAACAACATGAATAACTTTATTTAGGTGAAACCAAATTCCTAACTTTCTAGGCGTTTGAACACTTTTAACAGATAACAAATCTAACTTGAACGATTGGTGGTGTGTGGGCTAGTAGGGGAACTTCCACTAAAATAACGGCTGCATGTTTACAAAGTTAAAGCGCCACGTCACGCGCATTGTATACGTCGAAAGGCAGCTGCGAACACGACGCGTTGCGACGCTTTAACCTTTAACCTTGTCAACATGTGCAATACAACATTTGAAAACATGTGACGTAAATTATTCATAATCATTTATCACCCGGATTTAGATGCATATCACTAATATATCAAGGTGTACATCACCGACCGATGATATAAGTTCAGACTTTAAAAATTAGAATTATTTGCCGTTCAATGTGCGATTCTCATTTACCTATCAACTTGTACTTATAATTTATATTATCGTAACAATTTGATTCAAAACACGTGATCGAGTTAGTAATACGTGTAATTAAAACACCTAGGATAGGGAGCCAGTATTATTACATATATCCGTATACGATACTACAATACGTCCAATACATGATTTATTATTACATTACTAGTAACACAGTGAAGCATTATAATTACATGTATTTATATACGATACTACAATACGTCCAATACATGATTTATTATTACATTACTAGTAACACAGTGAAGCATTATAATTACATGTATTTATTTACGATACTACAATACGTCCAATACACGCTTTATTGTCACATTACTAGTAACACAGTGAACCAGTATTATGTGTATTCATAGACAATACTACAACACGTCCAATACACGCTTTATTGTCACATTACTAGTAACACAGTGAACCAGTATTATTACATGTATCTATATTACAATGTCACAATACGTCCAATACATGCTTCATTATTACATTACTAGTAACACAGTGAACCAGTATTATTACACGTATCTATATTACAATGTCACAATACGTCCAATACGTGTTTTATATTTCAGGTGCTAAGATTGTCTACATCACAAATATACTAATCTACAGTATCGGTATGGCTATTCTAGCTATTGCTCGCACTCCCGCCGCTGTTATTATATTATCATTTACTTCCGGTGTTATGTATGCGACCATATTCACCATGCCATTCCTTATATTGGCTTACTACCATTCCAGTGACACGGTATGTATGATTATCGTCTAGCTTATTATTACTAGCACTATCCACCCATGGTGTGGATAACTTTGGGATATTTTTGCGCATGTTAACAAATATTATTACTTATGATATTATTTGACAGCGAATGAAACAATATTCGTTCAATGCACTCTGGGGCGCGTGCTCTTGAATTTATACACTCTACAGCGCATGCTCCTGAATTTATACACGCCAGAGCGCATGCTCCCGGGTGATTTTCGTCGCGCAACGCATGCGCGAAATATGTGGGTCTCATGTAAACAAAGATGGCGACTTTGGCTGTTGGGCGCAGATCAATGAGTACAAACTGTGACGTTACCAAGCTTCAATTAGGTATTTGTAGGTGATTGGAATGTGTCGAAAGAGTCACCTGCGGTAATTAGTGAAAGTCGCGCCTAGGTCAATCATCGTACTTGTTAGTTCCATTAGAAGAGCTCGTTGGATTGTGGGAAATCAATGTTTATAAACACAAATGTCGCACATGCGCAGCGCGACGACTGCCATCCTTTAATTCGCCATATATTACGGAATCAACGGTTTTCAATGACATAGATACATATAAATCAGCATCAAAACGTACAAGACCGAACTCTATAAACAATTCGTAAGGATTAAACGACTATTCAGTGACACCAAACGCAAACGTGAGCGAGACATGTTCACTGTTCTATGGTTACAGTATTTGAGGAGAAGAACGAGTCTCGTAACTATCTTTCTATCGGCCATTAGCGTCTCACTTGTTGGCTGTTTTTATTTTTCTCAAATGGGATTTATTTGAATACATAGCACTCTCGAGTTCCAACCTTGTATGTGTTTGTTGTGCGTGCAACTCTAGAGCGAAGAAACCCGGTTTCTTGTGCGGGTTTTGACGTAACGTAGTGCGACTATGAACCAACAATGTCTATTATCATAACCGAGGAAAAATCAACGTGAAGCTGATTACAAGACAGTGACTGGTGACCAAGCAGGTTTTTTTTTTGGACGTATCAAATTTTGTCTTGTATATATGCAGAAAATGACAGTTTACACTTCTATTTCCTCTGTAGTTCGAGAAAGTTCGTGCTGGTGAAAGGAAAGCGGGACGAGTTCGAGGTCTTGGCACCGATATCGCATTGGTCCAAAGCATGGTCTTTCTGGCACAATTAATATTATCATTATGTATGGGAACCATAGTACACGCCGTACACAGCACTATCGCAGTAGTCGTCAGTGCATCGCTTCTGTCGTTCTTTGGAGCGATCGCTGCTTCCAAAATCATGTACTTAGATCTGTAACTGAAATACATGATCCTGTGTTGTATCGTCTTTGTGTTTAGACCACCGCTATCTTCGCTTTTACTTGTGTAGTGTATGCCTGTATCAACAGAGCTATGTGTCCGTGACAGCCATCATACAAGAAATACTTATAATGGACATTCCAAAACACATCGTGCGGCCAAGATGTTCACATTCTTCGGGATATTTACGTACAGTGCGTAGTAATATCGATATTTTTCAAATAGCCGTCGGTTCTTTTTAATTCGTGTGCCGAATATGGCCAATCTACTAATGTTGTTCTGTCGTACATTGTGACAAAGTGATCAAAATGAACGTTTTTATCCGTGTATTTATGTGTACAACTTTATGATTTAAAGCGCGACGTCATGTTCGATATAGGTCTCATAGCGACGTATTCTCGGGCGGACATCCGGGCATTTTCACCGCCTGGCAAACACCAGGCCTCACGGTGAGAACAAAGGCCGAAAACTCAAAAAAAACAAAAAAACACACTAATTTGGGATAGTTGTTGAGACTCACCCAAAAAGTGTAAAACATTACCCCTGCATTTGATTGTTCAGGCATATTTCGAAGTTTAGATTGTGCTATTTTCCCGATTTCAGCTGTTTTCGCCCGCTCTTCCACCGGCGTTCCACAGCAGCATGCGTAGAGCTCGTAACGTAAAACGTTCTATGACGTAGCCCCGCCCCCAAGAATACAACGTGATTTGTACGCGCTGCCTGATAGCTGTAGCACTTTACTGAAGGCGTATACGTGTATATTTCCAGCCAACAAATTCCCTATTCATGTATTGTGGGCGTGGTCTATCTGGGTAATGTGAGGACGGGCAATAAGAAATGCAGAATTAAAGAAAAAACTAGTACATGTATATATATATATATATGTTGAAATCTGTAATAAATTATAAAAATTAGAATCAACTTGTTGAGTTTACATGTATTTAGCTGTGTGTGGTATTTTTCTCCCGTTGAGGCACGTATGACATGACACCTTAAAGTGGGACCCGGTTCTATCAGTCAATGTGTATTGCACCTAAGGAATGGACCATTAGAAACTGTGGGCGATGGAAGGGGAAACTTTGCAAAATATTTTGTTTATGATGAATTTGCTGTATTTTTTTATTTCCTCTGTGTGTGATATTTTTATATAAGCTTGCAGAATTTATTTTCTGTTATTTATCCCTGCAAGTTTTTCTTCCACGATTATTTCCTGTGCACTTTTTTTTCAATTCTGTTATTACCCCCCCCCCTCGAGTTTATATTGGTCCGCCCCTAAGTATGGTAACATACAAGTTTAGTTGCCAAACGTGGCCTCAGTTGAGTGGTTTGACCTTAATCCAAGATGTGAACTTGGCTATTAATTATATCTCAAAGTGTGGCATGTACTCGGACGAGTCACTACGCATATTTACAACCAAGATGGGTCATGCTCGCTGTGGTTTGAATAGGGCCTACCTGTTAGACGGCGTGGCGGTTTGTATGTTGAACTGTTTTATTTCGATTTCTCATAGTAAGCTCAAATCCGTGTGTTGAGCTGGTACAATCATCATCTATCATCGCGTATCCTGTTTATTCGAAATACCTGAATCTTAACACAAGTGCATTATCTCAGTCTCATGGCTATTTCTTTTTCCTCCCAGCTCAACAGCATCGTGTCATGTAAGAAACAACAACACATGCACGACACCAAAATCGTGTTCAGCCATGTTGTTTTCATACTATTTGAGGTCACTCGGCTCTGGTCGAACTGAATTGAACTCTGGCAGATCGGTCGGCTCTCGTTTGGCCCCGAACGATGGGAGGAGCAGTAGTTCGGCTCCGATAGCATGCTGCCATGTAAACGTAGAATATGCGTGCCAAGAAAGTTAGACGTTGTTTATTGGAATAAAATAACGCAAGCGATTGATAAGAATGATTATTAATATTTTCCCCGATGCTCTTCGAATGTTTTTATTTTTTTATTTCAAGGTAAGAAATGGCTAGTTGAAGTTGCATCGTCTTCAATGCGGCTGTTTCACCGCGAACAACTCTAGCTCTGTTTTATTAGATCTCTTATCAGAGACACTTGAAGGATTAGCTTGTTTGTAAACTGTCAGCGTGTACAGTGGGACAGTAATGTTTGTCAGAGGATTATCCCTCGTTGTTCGTTTGCATAACAATGGAAACCCGAACGTTCCTGGAGTACGGACTCAAATGCCATTTCTTCATTTTCACGCTCGAGCTTCAAATTATTCTTTATCTGACACTCTTTATGAGTTCTATGATATCAGTTGTTAATATATTTGGCCATTTTTAGTGTATATTTATAATAATGCAGCAAATCTACAGTGTTTTATCATGGAAGGTTTATGGTTTAATTAACCAAAACTGTTTTTCGAGTTTTTCTCGAGTTGGAGTTTTGACTGAGTACGACTCATTGGGACCGCCGCCAAATCAAGTGCGTTCGGACTAGGACATTCATACTCGTAGTTATCGTTCAAAAGATTATGATGGTGCGAAATATGTCTGGGTTTTTAAAGAAAATGCTTTGTCACAGAATAATAGTCTGTTAAAGGTGCAAAGTGTGAAATAATTTGGGGACAAAAAACAAACCTGCATAGAAATCGGAATAATAGGTCTTTTGATTACCGTGGACAAATTTCAATGGACTTGATTACGAACAACGCATGACGTAAATTTCACTAGGAAATTCCACAGTGTGCTCTCGCAATCGCGGACTTAGTCATTTTTACAAGGTTCGCCATTGTTGATGTCACGTGATAATTATGTAAACAATGACTGTCTAGTTTGTGCGAACTTGTACCTCTATACTTAGTCTTTTGAAATATATAAGCTAAATTACTGTTCTGAGCGAGACAACAGACAGAGAATGTTTTATTCGAAAACGTCACAAAACCCTTCTCGCTACCTTAACGTTGATATGGACAGTTATGGTGTTATAAACACAGCCAACTTCGCCAGCTAAGGTTCGATTATTCGGCCGGTGCCTTGAGTTTACATCGAGCTCGCAAAACCGTGCAATATGGACGATGAAACACAACTTAAAACCAATTATATTATATTATACTAAGTCAGATTTAGAAAGAAACGACTTTAAACAATTGATTTACCAGTAAAGCAATAAGGAAATAGCTCCGGTAAAGAGAATTGAGCATTTGGAAAAAAACAGGAAATGGGGAAAGTGGAAGAATTAATAGATTTATATTTGCCTTCATGGTAGTAAACTTCCACTTAACATTTTCATCATCAGCGCTAACAAAATAGTTATAAACTCAGGAAATAGTCATTGCGAAGCTACTTACAAGATTGTGTCTGATTGGCTACCCACATCTAACAGTCAGACCAATCAGGGAGCAGCTTATTTGTTAACCGTTTTTTTTTTTTTTTTCGGCGTAGTAGTTTCTGCCTTGTAAGTATGTTCCGACTCAACTGTGAAATAAAGTAAACTCGGGCGATTCCATAGAAGTAATAATGTTCGGTTCAGAAGTCTGAAGGAAATCGAAAAATAAATTGCTATTAAATCGTTTGCGCCGTGCCTCTAAAGAAAGTGTTGATCGAAAATTAACGCACGCCGTGTTCCTTCACGTGCATGTTACTCTGATAAAACGTCAAGACCGCGCCATACCATAGCATCCTTCTTCGAAGACAACAACGACTAGTGGTAATAGTGAAAGCAAAGACGTAACTGGTTATCAAATAAAAAGGGAAATTCGTGTGGTTATAGAGAACGTATATTCAAAGAACAAATAAACTAGATTATTTGTTAACGTACAACTGTTTATTAACGGTAAACTTTATCGCAAATATTGATGAAGTATTCTTGCTTGTGTGTGCATCTTCTATT